CCCCCTGCGTGTAAGCACCCTTCGGAACAGGGGTTGACACACACACACACACACTCACTCTCACACACACTCACTCTCACTCACACTCACTCTCACACTCCCCCACACTCACTCACACCCACCCACTCTCACTCACTGACACTCACTGACACCCACTCACTCACTCACTCACTCACTCACTCACTCACTCTCCCACTCTCACTCTCACTCTCACTCTCACTCTCACTCTCACTCGACTCACTCTCTCTCTCTCTCACTCACTCACTCACTCACTCACTCTCTCTCTCTCTCACCCACTCCCACACTCACACTCACTCGCTCTCACTCACACTCACACTCACTCACTCTCCCACTCTCACTCACTCACTCACCCACCCACTCACTCACTCACTCCCTCGCTCACTCACCCACCCACCCACCCACCCGCCCACCCACTCACTCACTCACTCCCTCGCTCGCTCGCTCGCTCACTCACTCACTCACTCACTCACTCACTCACACTCTCACGCTCACTCACACTCACACTCACAGTCACACTCACTCACTCACCACCACCGCCACCGCCACCACGATCCCCACATTCACCACCACCATCACCTCTCTGGACCCCAATGCGTCTAGATCTCTAGACTTTCTGCTTTAGACCTCACACACACTGTTTGGAGTCTCTTGCCGGGATAATTCAATCTAGTCCCGTGGGGAGGTGAGTTGCGGAACATGCTTGAGCTCGAGAGTGGGGGGGCTGAATTTTGATGATTTTTGGCAAAATGACATTTTAAGCCACACGCGTCGATCAGTAAGGCTGACATTTTAAGCCACACGCGTCGATCAGTAAGGCTGCTGACGTTGCATCTGTGGACACAAAAGCATCTTTCTTCTTTGGAGTCATTGGCATGAGCAATGTCAGGAGCTGATTTTGGCCTTGAAGCTTCTGAGGCCTGGTTGATATGTGGCAGGTGCGGCGCTTTCAGTGTAGTTGCTGTTTTGCGCGCCGGCAGGGAGAGGTTGGATACCACGCAGGCCTTCCGTGGGAGGTTTTGTATCTGTCCAGTCCATGGCATGCATGGCGTCAAGTTGCTGCATGGTTCATGTCCATGGTTCATGTTTAGCAGGGCTACGCTAACGACTGTCAGGTACGATGGTGGGACTCAGGATCTTGCAGGGCCCCATGAAATGTGGAGTGATGGTGATTGATGCTGTGAAATATGCTTTGGCGGCGCCTTTTCTCAAGCAGCAATGGCCTCTTGCAAAGATGGGGAAATGAAGCCGTTGACGGAGGACCCAAAGCTGGTTGACAAGTATGTGGCCGCCTTCAAAGCCGAACCAAACAAGCAGGGTTGAAATTGAGAAAAACTTTGGCTCGTCTTCAGTGTTCTGTTTGCCACAGGTTGGCTGGTACACGCCCACACTCAAGCCCTCCAGCTCTTCTTCCTCCTCCTCTCCTCAAAGGCTTGCAGCCCCGAGTGAGGGAAAGCCATGTCCAAATCCAAATGGCATGCCCTTCTTGCGCCAGCTGCCCTACATGGCCATCATCAGTCTATGAGACACGGCTTCCTTTGCACATGCCATGCCATGCGGTCTGCAAACACTGTCCGCCCCCAAATTCGAGAAGATCCGGTTTCTTCTTTGGTGGGCCAAGATCTTCCTGGACCAAGTTAGGACTGCTTATCCATTGCTGTTGGATGCTCCCCCCGCTTGGCCGTTGCTTCTATGCCACGGTTGCTTTGGAAGCCATTGCAACGGCCAAGGCAACCTCAGCAAGACCTTCGCAGTGTGCGATATTTTTCTCGATCAGCGAAGGAATGTGGTGTTCAGAGACAATGCTCTACTCGTGCACTCCCCTGCCACCCACCATATACTTTT